CGGCCCTTCCTGCTCCCCTAGGCCGGCCGCTGCGCCCGCACTTCCGGGCTCTAGGCTCGCCGGTCCCGGGTGCGTGTGTGTATGTGTGTGGGCGGGGTAGCGCACCTTCTTTCCCTGGACCTAACCCCGCCCTCCACCGGCGTAGCCCCGCCCCTTCCTCGATTTAACCCCGCCCTCCACCGGCGTAGCCCCGCCCCTTCCTCGATTTAACCCCGCCCTCCGCCGGCGTACCCCCCTCTCCTTCCTCGGCTTAGCCCCGCCCTCCGCCCGCGTAGCCCGTCACTCCCGCGGCTCGGCCCCGCCCCCGCGGTCTGCGCCCGGCGGGTTTGCAGCCGCTGTCTCCGCCTCCCGGCGAGGGCTGTGCGGGCGGAGAGCCTGGCGGCGGCGGCGGGAAGGCTGCCTCGCACTGGCAGGCCCGGCGGCGGGGACTGGAGCCCCGGGCGGCTCCTCCTCGGCCAGTCACGGCTGGCCTGGGTGGTGGCGCGGCCTCCACGCCCGTAAAACCCGCGTCCACGCTGGCTCGGTGCAACCCGCGCGCGTGTGTGCATGGCCGTGCGGAGGTGACCGGCCGGGTCTCTCCTGACCTCGTTCACACCACCCTGGGGCGTTCTACTGGTATACTCCGTATGTGTTTGTCCGCTTTTTTTTTTTTTTTCCTTTTTCCTTAACCTGATCTCACACGTTCGTGGTTGCAAACTCTTGCGACATGGTGTGGTGCCATTCCCTTTAATAAACATTAAATGCGTATATTCTCACATATAATAAGTTCCTAAGATAGTGAACCATGGCTGCTTGTCTTATGGTTCCTCATCTTTTCTGCTTAGATGAACATCTTCCATCCCAAAGACACCTAAAAAGTACTTAACCAACTGCTCTAGGATAAATCCAATACTAGCAGCATATCCCAAGAGAAGGAAGGGGGATTTAAAAAGTGCTATTTGTATAAAAATGTTTATTCAGCACACCAGCGCATAGTAATCACGGGTTCAACAGTGAAGGAGTGATTCAGGAATTAAGCACAAAGAATCCTGTGCCTGGCCTATAGGAAATACTTAATATTTATTAAATGTACTACATTCCCACTCCAATGTGGCATTTTTAGGGTTCCTAAGCAATCCAAATGTACAGCCAGAGTTGAAAAACCTCAAGCGTAGGGCTGGGAAGGTGGCTCAGGGGGTAGAGTGCTTGCTTCGCATGCATCAGGCCCTGGGTTCGATTCCTCAGCACCACATAAGCAGAAAAAGCTGCAAGTGGCGCTGTGGCTCAAGTGGTAGAGTGCTAGCCTTGAGCTGAAGAGCTCAGAGACAGCGCCCAGGCCCAGGGTTTCAAGCCCCAAAACCGACAAAAAAAAAACAAAACCCAACAACCAAAAAACCAGCAGCACACTACAAAAATGAGGATTAAACCAACTGAGCTATTTTGAAGGCTGGGCCAGAAAACTCACTTGATCCCAGGAATTGAGGATCAACAACAAACATGTTTGACAACAAACATTGCAGGACCCTATCCCTCCAATATACATATACACAGCACATACATATATATGTGTGTGTGTGTATATATATATAGATATATATATATACTATACAGAGAGGGAAAAAATTAGTGCATGTTGTTGATAATCCTTCAGACAATGAACTAGTACCTACAAACTTATCTTGAAGCTTTATTAACAAAGCTGTTGTGAACTGAAAGTAATTTTAAAAATAAGTACAAGCTGAGTGCCAGTGGTTCAAGCTTGTAATCTTAGCTACTTAGTAAGATGGGACCTGGAGGATCTTAGTTTGAAGCTTAGTCAGGGCACAAAAGTCCACGAGACTCTTAAACAGCAAAAAGCTTGACTGGAGGAGTGGCTCAAATGGTAGAATGCCAGCTGATAAAAGCCAGCTGAATGTTGAGGCCCTAACTTCCAACCCTGGTATGGGGGGGGGGGGCAGAGCCAGATTGGAGGCATGACTTAAGTAGTACAATGCCAGCCTTGAGTGAAAAAGCTGAGTAAGAGCACAAGTCCCTGAGTTTAAGCCTTAATTAACCAGCATACACACACAGACACAATGTTTGCATAAGAATCAAATTCAAAATCCTACTATAAACTAGGCCAAGCCACACCTAGTTCTCAATTAGAAAAGAGTAATAAATTATACACAAGCTTTTTAAAAATCTGTTTTATGTTTAATATATGAGCTTGGGGATATTAAAATGTGTGACAGATACCTGATATTTGTTATTTTTAAAACAGTAAACATACCACAACACACAAGGTGGCAAGACATATGGAAATATTGGAAAATAAGGGTACTTATTTTGTGTTACAAAAATTCTTTTAAGCCGGGTGCTGGTGGCTCACGCCTGTAATCCTAGCTATTCAGGAGGCTGAGATCTGAGGATCACGGTTCAAAGCCAGCCCGGGCAGGAGAGACCATGAGACTCCTATCTCCAATAAACCACCAGAAAACCGGAAGTGGCACTGTAGCTCAAGTGGTAGAGCGCTCACCTTGAGCTGAAGAGCTGAGGGACAGCGCCCAGGCCCAGAGGTCAAGTCCCACGACCAACAAAAAAAAAAATTCTTTTAAGTAACTTGATTTTTCCGTGTGTGTGTGTGTGTGTGTGTGTGTGTGTGTGTGTGTGTGTGTGTGTGTGTATATTCTGAATACCTTCCCAAGTCAAAAAGAATAAATCTGAAAGAGTGATAATCAAATGTTATGATCATCTCAGGATTACTTCAAAATAACTGGACACCTAAAAAAATCTTCTGTATCTGTAAATTTTATCAATGTTTACTATGTTAGAAATTAAAATGGAGGGCTGGGAAGGTGGCTCAGTGGTAGAGTGCTTGCCTTGCATGCATGAGGCCCTGGGTTCGATTCCTCAGCACCACATAAGCAGAAAAAGCCAGAAGTGGTGCTGTGGCTCAAGTGGTAGAGCGCTAGTCTTGAGCTGAAGAGCTGAGGGACAGCGCCCAGGCGGAGTTCAGGCCCCATGACTGGCAAAAAAAAAAAAGTCTCAAGAATTTAAAATGGAAAATTAAGAATTCCTATTATTTTAAATAATAAGCAATATATTAGTATAAGCATGGTAAGTGAAAATTGACTTCCTAAAAGTGTGGCAGGATTTTAGCTTTTTAAATTCTTTTCCCAAATTGCTACCTTATTAGAAGATAGCTATTTGTTCTTGTTTCTGCATTCAATTTATACCAATGTATTGGAGATGGCACTGTAGCTCAAGTGGTAGAGTGCTAGCCTTGAGCTGATGAGCTGATGAGCTGAGGGACAGCGCCCAGGCCCAGAGTTCAAGCCCTACAACCGACAAAAAAAAAAAAAATTATACCAATGTATTGTTTTGGTTGAAATATTTGAAGAAAAAGTGGCCTTATAGAAATTTTTCTTTAAAAATAATTTTAAGATGATTTCATTTTAAATAGTTTCAAACAACACAGATGCTATTAGTCTGGACCACCTGTCTAACCCTGGTCCTAGCCTTTAGAACTATTTATTTTCTTTGCCTTTCAGATTTATTCTTTCAAGTGTTTAAGCTTTTTTGCTCATGGCTAATGGTCTACCCCTTGAACTGCAGCTCCACTTCTGGCTTTTGCTGGCTAACTGGAGATAAAAAGTCTCACAGACTTTTCCTGCCTGAGTTAGCTTTGAATAGGGATCCCTCAGATCTCAGTCTCCTGAGTAGGTAGGAGGATGACGAGCGGGAAGGCACTAGCAGCCGACTCTCAATGGATGTTGATTTTTCTTTTTTTCTTTTTCCACATTGACTTACCTTGTTCAAGTGTTGCATGGTAACCCAGAATGTGAATGTAAACATTCTTTCAACAAATGCCTCCTCATTTTTACTTTTGTTTTTGTTTTTGTCATTTGTAGGGCTTGAATTCAGGGCCTGGACTCTGTGCCTGAGCCTCTTTGTGCTCAAGGCGAGTACTCTTCCACTTGAGCCACAACACCAGTTTTTGAGTGGTTAACCCGAGCCAAATCTCACTGACTTTTCTTGCCCCGGCTGGCATTGGACTGTGATCCTCAGATCTTAGCCTCCTGAGTAGCTAGGATTACAAGCGTGAGCTGGCTTTGGCTTTAATTTATTTTTAAATTGCTATTATCAAGGTGATGTCTAGAAGGGTTAGTTACGTCTATCAGGTAAAGAGCACATTTCTTTTTGGATGTCACCTCTTCTCTCCCTCTCTCCCAGTTTTTCCCTCCCATTCCCACCCACAAATTGCATAGCTGATTTTGAATACATATCTAGTGAGTACCAAGGCTGCAAATGCCTTTATATATATATATAATATATGCATGTACATGCATATATAATACATATATATAAATATATGTACATATATATGTATATATGTATGTATGCACACACACACATATATATACACACACTATTCGTAGCGCTGGGAATGGCGCGCTCTTACAGGGTTGTGCCAGCCAAGTGCCCAGAGCTCCACAGTAAAGATGGAAGGGCTGAGTCTTTTTAAAATTCTTTATTGTTTTTTCTTTCTTTTCTATTGTGAAAACACTGTACAGAGGGGTTACAATTACATGGGCAAGATAGTGAGTACATTTCTTATCCATCTTTTTTCTTTTTGATGGGGGGGGGGGACGGCTCTCTGGGAGAACCGTGGCAGGTGGAGTGGGCAGACGTGAGCACCCCCAGAGCAACAACGGCCTGCCCCCGACAGACAGCCTCCTCCTTTATAACGGGTGTGAATTCTGTGTATTTTTTATTATTATTCCTTATTCATTGTACACCTAGTTTATTTTACCTCAAAGATGCAGCAGACGCTGGCACCGAACCCCGCAGCCACCAGGCACGACAGACTGGACGGAAGGGGACAGACAGACAGACGACATGGGGGGGGGGTAACGAAAGAAAGAAAAACCTTCAGCGCCCCAGGAGGGGGGGAAAAGGAAGGAGAAGAGGCCGCCACGCCCACTTCCGGGAAGCGAACCGGAAGTCGCTCCCGGATTCTGCGCCAAAGCCCCGGCCTTCCAGGGGCCGTCGTAAAAGTGTCGCCCGTCATCTCTCGGGCCGGGCTACAGGTCTCCGCTCGCTTCCAGTCAGGGGTCGACAGCTGCAGGCGTTAGTTTCCCTTAAGATGGCGGACGAGGAGACCGACGGTGAGGAGAGGATGGAAGTCAGCACCGAGGTGCCCCAGACCCCTCAGCGGCTGGCATCCGTAAGTGCTTCTAGGCAAGTCCCTTTTGTCCTCCGTCTCCAGTGCCTCCCCACCCGCGGTTCCGGAGGAGGGGGGTGGGGGTGCGGGTTCTTCATTCCCTCTGGGGGCGGAGGGGGGGTGGGAGAGGAGGATGGGGGTGTGGGGAGGCGGTGGGGAGGGGGCGTGGGGGTGGGGGTGGTGGTGGGGGGTGGTGGAAGAAGTCTTGTGGCTGGATCTGGAAGGCAGCCACCACCATGAAAATTAAGAAATAAAGTTCGTCGTCAGCCCCGTTCCGAGTCTGCGGAATTGCGGGCTGTCATGGCACCAGTCTGGACAAGCCCCCGGCCTTTGCACGTCTCCGTCCTGAAGTAGGGGGGCGGGGAGGGGGGAGGGAAGGAAGAAAAAAAAAAAAAAAAGAAACTGGGAAATTGTGGGGAAGTGGTTTGCCGGGGTCTCTGAAGCGAGGTTGGAGAAAGCCATTTTTCTTCAAACGGTCTATTTATTTATTTAATCAAAAGACGCAGTGCTAAATACCCCCCCCCACCCCCACTTCTTGGTGACAGGACTCCAGGATGCAGCAGCCCCGAATGTGTGTGTGCCTAGGCTCACCGGCTGGGTGGGGAGCTGCTGCTGCTGCTGCTGCTGCTGCTGCTGCTGCTGCTGCTGCTGCTGCTGCTGCTGCTGCTGCTGGTGGCCCAGGGTGCATCTGTGGCAGGGTCAGTGTGAACCACTGTCCGTCCAAACCCTGTTCCTGTAGGAATGGAGGTCTTCGTGATAGCATATGGAGAACCCTAGGCCTAACTTTCCGTGGAGAACCCTGTCACCTCCTGCTGCTGCTGCTTCTTCTTCTTCTTCTTCCTTTCTTTTTTTAATGTGAAGATGGGACTCCTGGACGTAGAGCAGTGGAGCAAAACTATTAGTGCTGGAATGTCTGCTTTTGCTCTTGTAGTTTAGAAAGCATCCCAAGGCAGAGAATAGCAAATTGGAGTTGATAGGCCAGCTGGCTTAAGGGGAGAAAACTGTTTGAGGAGAATAAGAGGCCTGGAGCAATGTTAAGAAACGTTCTGGGTGCATCCTCCTACCCTCCTTCCCCTGTAAATTATCAATCACGGCTGATGTCTGTCAGTGTGTCTTTTTAGTGGCATTTGGAAAAGTGTGTGGGTATACACCACTTCATGAAGTCTCTAAGTATTTAAATATGCAGCACTCAAGCATTAGTTTAATTCGATTAGAGTGAACTAAGAAATGTCTCAACTATAGGGCCTGGAGAGACTGAGAAAGAAACTAGATAGGGATGGAGTTGGGATATGGGTTTATGCGAGAGAGTTCAGTACATGAAGTCTTTCTCCACCTCAAATTGCAGTTCAGATTCACTTCATTAGTAGTAAAAGATGAAAAAAAGAAAATGTAAGAAGTCTACATATTTTTGCAGTGCTGGAAATCAAACCCAAAGGTTTGCATGTGCTAGGCAAGCATTCTTGCTGAACTACATACAGTCTTAGCCAGAAGCATCTCTCTCTCTCCATCCCTTTCTCACTCCTTTCTCCCTCCCTCCCCCCTCTCTACCTCTCTCTCTACTGGGGATGGAGATTGAGCTTAGGGCCTTGTGCTTGCTAGGCTGGTGCTCTACCACATGAACCAATCCTTGAGCCCTTTCTGCTTTCATTTTTTCCCCCATCTGATCCTTATATTTATGCTTTCTGTGTAGTTGGCATGGGAGGCTCATGCAATTGCCCCTGAGTTTTTATTGGTTAAGATGGGAGTGTCTTACACGTTTTTTCCAGGCTGTACTGCAATCTTGATCCTCCTGTCTCAGCCTTCCAAATAGCTGGGATTACGTACATTTGGTCAAGGCTTTGTCTTTGCAAAGTACTAAGTAGGTAGTGTAATTTAGCCTGAGGAACTCAACAGTGACACAATGGTCCAAGAATTTTAGTCCAAAGTTGGGTGATGTAAGTGGCTGAGACTTGTGACTGTTAAACCTGTAAATACCTTTTTTGTGAGTGTGTGTCTGATTCTTACCTAGTTGACCCCAGAGAGCATCCTACTTTCTTTTCCTTTGGAAACTATTGTTTTAAATTTTATTTTGCCAGTGGATATACTAGCTTCCCAACTTACTTTCTCTTTGCTTCTAAATAAAACATGCTTAGCTTTAGCTTTTTGTGTTTTCATTAGAATAATTTGTATTTTAAATCAACTGTGGGAGCCAGGGAGCACAAAATGATTAATATAGGACAGTTGCCGAGGTTTAAGTAATCTTACAGCTTGTGTTAGATTCATAGCCCTAGTTATACTTTCTAATTTCCTTAAGTCAAACTTCCTTTTAAACTCTGGGTATTATTATTATTATTATAGATTCCATAGATCTGGCATGGGGCCCAAGACTCTTCATTTTCACAAGTATGCTCTGCTGATTATAAAATCCTCATATGTGTAAGTGCAGCTAGATATTTGGAAGTTACTAGTATCACATTAATAGTTGAGTCTGTCAGAACGGATAGATGTTTGAGGAGCAGTGAATATGTATGTGTGAATGGATCTAGAAATGGGTGCCTAGGAGATAAGAGTAATGCAGTGTCATAGGGTGTAGTTTTGAGGGGAAAGTGGTTTATTGGGTTCACGATGATGACAGAAAAATTTGGCATCTAGAGATCTTGAGGTAGTGTGCTAGGCCTTCTGCTTTCCTTTGGATTTTCTTCCTTATGTCTTAGCTCAGGAGATGTCTTGTGGCATGGTATTATGTAAGCTCTTTTACCTGCCTACGCATTCCTAGGTGATTTCATCCAGTTATATGGCTTCAAATATCATCTCTATTTGTGTAGTCCCCAACTTTATATCTCTAGGACTTCTGACCTCAAGAATAAAAAAAAACAGGGGCTGGGAAGGTGGCTCAGTGGTAGAGTGCTTGCCTTGCATGCATGAGGCCCTGGGTTCGATTCCTCAGCACCACATAAGCAGAAAAAGCCAGAAGTGGCACTGTGGCTCAAAGTGGTAGAGCACTAGCCTTGAGCTGAAGAGCTGAGGGACAGTGCCCAGGCCCAGGGTTCAGGCACCATGACTGGCAAAAAAAAAGAATAAAAAATACAATTGCTTAGTTGACATTTTTTTGGCTGAAAGGTGTTTCCAACAGGGGAGGAATTTGGAAGTTACTACAGTAATCCCAAACATAGCTTGCACTTGAGGGATCACTGGAAAGAAATGGATGAATTTGAGAGACAATTTGGAAATATAAAGTACAGAACATTGGCTAATGTATTAGACGTGACATTAGATGGGAGAGGGGAGGAAATAGATAATATCTGGATCCCAGTTTTTGCCTTAGGCACTTGGGAAAATGGTTACATCATGAACTGAGAGGAGCCACCAGGATTCTGGAGGAAAAGGAAGGTAGCTTGATTTTTGTTATCCTTGTCTCAGAAGATACCTCCACAGTAGCTGTTGGATTCAACTCCATCTCTGTAATTCTAGCCACCATCTGTTGTCTGTAGTATCCTCTTTTTTTTTTCTCTTCTTCCTCCTCCTCCTCCTTTTTTTTTCCTGGTCCTGGTACTTGAACTCTGGGCCAGGGCACTGTCCCTGAGCTCCTTTTGCTCAAGGCTAGCACTCTACCTCTTGAGCCATAGCCTCACTTCTGGCTTTTTCTGTGATTAATTGGAGATAAGAGTCTCATGGACTTTCCTAGGCTGGCTTTGAACCTTGATCCTCAGATCTTAGCCTCCTGAGTAGCGGGGTTTACAGGTATGAGCCACTGCCCCCCCCCTCCCTTCCCGTAGTATCCTCTTAATTGTTTGTTTTTTGTTTTTTGTTTTTTTTTTCTTTAGCCAAGAGCCACAGGTAAAAGATTTTTATCTTTTTAAAGATTAAATCAATCATGCCAGTGTTCTATCTTTCCCACCCCTCCAAACCCCGTCCTGGAGTTTGAATTCAGGGCCTTGTGCTTACTAGGCATGTACTCTACCACTTGAAGCACACCTTGAGCCCTTTATGATTTTGTTATTTTTCAGATAGGGCCTTGTAGTTTGCCTAGGCTGCCTGCACTACAATCCTGCTGTTCATGCTCCCCAAATAACTAGGATGATAGGTATGTGCCACGGTGCCCAGGATTTTATTGAGTTAGCATCTTGTGACTTTTTGTCTAGACTAGTCTCAAACTGTGGCTCTTCCAGGTAGTTAGGATTACAAGTATGAGCCACCATACTCAGCCATATTGTACTTTTTTTTTGTCTGTGTTAGTACTTGAACTCATGGCCTGGGCACTGTCCCTGACCTCTTATGCTCAAGCTAGCACTCTACCACTTTGAGCCACAGAGCCACTTCTGGTTTTGGGGGGTTATTTGGAGATAGGAGTTTTAAGGATTTTCCTCCCCAGGCTGGCTTTGAACCTTGATCCTCAGATCTCAGCCTCCAGAACAGCTAGGATTACATGCATGAGCCACCAGTGCCCAGTTTAACCCATTGTTCTTAGACTATATTCTAGCATCATTACAAACCTTCTAAGTTTTTATCTGGTCTGGCCCCTTATATCTCAACTTCATCTTTCTTCTCATTTGCTTTTAGGATATTGCTCTATTAAACATATGCTCTATCACTGAACCATACCCCCAGTCCTCTGAGATAATGAATAGAGATCACTATATATGATTTAGTAAGATTGAGAGTTGCTTGGAGGATGGAAGTTGCAGATGGAGGAAGGAAGGAGGGGGTGAAGAGGTATATTAGGGTAGCAGTTTACCTTGGAATCCAGACAAACAGTAAGGTAAGAAAAGCCCAGATAGGAAATTTGGGAGGCAACTCTGCTCCTATTGTTGACATAAGTGGAAGGACTGAAAGTTACAGTCAGAACGAGGAATTTTAGAGACAGAGACCATAGACGTACATCACATTTTGTCATGGTAAACCAGGATACATGCATCTCCTGTATTTCTGTAGCACTTACTTCATATAGCTATTACCTAGAATCATTAATGACTTCCATTTACTCTTTGAGAGGATCCACTGTTTATTTTTGTAGCTATTCCGTT